AAAACATGCAATCACATAAAAACATTACATACTAGTGAATTAGATGACCTTTTTGCATAAGAAAAAAAGTAATAATATACCACTATATAGTTGCCTAACATAAATTTATTTTACTTACCAAAATAAAAAATAAATATTTTCATCCTAAGAAAAAAAATTATTTCAGCAAATTTAAACCTTGTATAGCAAATATATTTTTGACATCTTTAATGACTAGATTAACCAAACACCAACCTTTCAACAAATACTTTTCTTTTATCCCATGGGCATCCAAGTATTGCTCTTACTTTCTTAAGATTATCAATAAAATATGTGTAAACAATGGTGATTAGTTGTGAGTCAATACTTATCTCCTCCAAAAGATTCCATATTTCATTTTTTCAAAATTCGATCAATATAAGTGTTGAGCTTTTCATATATAGCATTTCCTGTAGTAACTGCATTAGTAACCATTTCAAACCTCTCTTGAATAAGTTCACTATCTTTGTCATTTTCTTTATTTTTAGCTCTTTTATTCATTGAACTACTTGAAAAATTGAAAGGATTTTTAGAACGAGCCCCATGGGGTGTCATGAGATCAATGTAGTCCTAACCCGAAATATCATGATTCTCCAATGTTACTTCATTTTGAGAGATTAAAATATCAATATCATCAATATTCTCTCTTAACTTATCATCAGTTTCAAAAGATCGCTTCCTTCACTCATTTTTGCTGAAAATCCCAATATGCTTCCCTATGGCTTGATCATTACCATAAAGAGTTACCATCTTGTTATAATTTCGAATGGGTTTAGTCATTCACCCTTGGGCATGAGGATGTACCTAAAAATTTATAATATTATATTGTGAGAATATAAATAATAAAATGTAAAGTAGTTAATAAAATAATAATTAAAATTTGATTTTAATAAAATTTACCTCGTTCAATCTCTGACAAAACTTCAGGTTCAGCACCCTATATTTAATAACTAAATTCCAACAAAATCCACTCATTCCTTGCTTGAATAAATCATAACATCAATGGTTAAGCTTGAATATTATAATAGTATTCTTTGAAAAATGATAAAATATAATAAGGACACAGAAGTCATTTTATATTGAAAAATTTTTAATCATTTCTTTTCCTTTCTGTTTACCTTAATTTGGAGTAGTTAAAAATTGGAGGTTTTGAACTTTTGATGGAAAAGGAGGATGCTCAATTTCCTTTTATTTCCTTTATTAAAATGTAAATAATAAACAAAAAAAAGTTTTTTTTTTTATTTCTCCTGCATTCCTTTTCTTTCTCTTCCTTTCCCCCACTTTCCTTCAATCCAAATATAGCCTAAAATTTTTGTTGTATTTATTTGCTTTTTAAATTTAAATTTACATTTTCAATTTAATTTAGTATTATGATAATTATTTCAATTTTATTGTTATTATAAAAATACTAAAATTATTTTATTATATTATAATTATAATTTTATTAACAATCACATGCAAGAAAACTAGTTCTTGAATTAATACCAAATTATTTTCAAATTTTCTAAGCTTTATCATTGAACTATCCTATTTTGATGATATATTAAATCCCTACTGTTATGTTGCTGTAGTTGCAAACCATATATGTAGAGACATGCATTGTGCTCTCAATCTCAAGTCAATAGCATTAGGCTTTGAACATCATAGAAGATATCTTCTTAGAGAGTAGATCAATGATTTTTTTCACCTTTCAATTGGCTTTTAATTTTATTCTTGTTGATAATACACAATTGAATATAATAAACTAAAATAGCCTCTTGATTTCTTGGTTATTGGTTTGACTGATTTATTAATTTCTTCTCTTTGATGTGTATAAAAAATTGGTTGATTATGGTTATAAGTTTTATATTTATACATAATTTCATTAAAAAAAGTTAAATAATGATATGTTTTGTACGTTTGAACTAGTCTTTGAGTGAAACGCCATATCATTTCGATGGTTATGATAATATGGCCTATTAATTAATTCGATGGTTGCAATTTTTAATGTCTTCAAATATAGTTAAAAGAATAAAAAAGAAATTAAAGTGACAAAAAAAGTTAATTAAAAAAATTGGATACCCAAAATGAAAATTAAGATGAAAATTTTGAAAAAACTTCCATGCTGCTGCTAATGTATGTTTACTCGGGTGAACATTTAAAAATTTTTTTTTCTAAATAAGGTTTAAAGTATCATTTTTTTTAATTAAATCTTTTAAGTATTTTTTTATTAAAATCCTATTTGTTTAAAAGATTTTAGTGATTTTCATTAAAAATAAGATTTAATTAAACAAAAATAATATTTTAAAGGTTCAATTGGGTACAATAAAAAGATAATGGTTTATTTGATAAATATGAGAAATTACAGAGGTTTTTTTTACCATCCAGCATCTTTTGATACCATGGCAATGGATCTGAAGATGGAGAAGGCAGTAATATAAGATCCTGATAGATTTACAAGAAGAAAGGAGTTCTACATGAGAGTAGGAAAGGCTTGGAAACGTAGGCATTTGTTATATGGATCGGACCACCTGGCTCGGTAAAGTCAAGCTTGGTTGCTGCTGTTGGGAATATTGACTCAAATCCCATAAGAGATTTGTTTGAGATTTGTTTGGGATTTGTCAGATATTGCTTGATGGACAAGAAGACTTGCAAAAGAAGAATTCTAAGAGAAAAAAGATTCTTAATAGATAAGTTTAACTTGCAAGAGAAGAATTTTAAAAGGAAAGGGATTCTTAATAGGCAAGTTTGACTTATAGGAGAAGAATTCTAAGAGGAGAGGGATTCTTAATGGGCAAATTTGTATGGTTATAAATAGATGAAGTCTCTACAGGGTTAGGTATGAGAAAAAGATGTAAGAGAGTTGTAGGATTTTGTGGGATAGACACCCTATAGGAGTATTGAGGCTCTACGTCTTATGAGTGTGTATGTTTGTTTGTGAGTGGACTAGAGGAGATTGAAGGGTCCACATAGGTATGATGTATGGGAACATATGGGTATGTGTTTGGTTGTGTTGAAAAGGTGCACAAGAGTTTGGGTTTGTGTTTGTTTGGGTAGAGAATACTTCATAGGACTAGAGGAGATTGAGAGTGTCTTATGAATATTGATTGTTGAGTGAGGTTGATGATTTTATGTATGTTAGTAATTCTCTACAACTAGTAGATCTTTTTTCTCATCCGTGGATGTAGGTCAGTTGGATCGAACCACGTTAAATTGTTGTCTTTTGTGTGTTTGATTTATTATTTGATTTCGCTTCCGCTGGTGTGATTGGATTGGAGGCTTTTAGCCCAACAGCTTCCATGGCTAATTGTCTCATGTTTGATGTTCATGATTTCGATTTAAATGAGGTTCAGTGCAATTCGGATTTGAGGAGATTCTTCATAGGTAAAGGTAATTATATCAAAATTACATCATTTTCATAATTGTAAAAAGTTTATTACGTAGTTTGCCTAATCATTTAATTTAATTTCAAATTTTTTATTTTCTGTTATTATATATCATCTTGTTACGACTGTAGTTAACTTTTTATCTATAGTAAATTTTTTAAAATTAGCCTAATTTAACATTACTATTGAAAATAGTTTTTGACTTTAAAAGCAGCTTTTGATTCAACCTTAATATTAAACAATAAAAAAAATATAGCTTTTCAAGTTAAAGTTTGATTTTGCAATCTAAACAAAAATGCTTCTTAAGAGATGTTTTAAGGTGGAAAAGTATTTTTGGGATAAAAAATCACTATATTATCCTATATTTTTATTATTTTATTATTTTATATATTTTTTTAAACATTTCAATTATTTACAATATTTTTTTTACAGTAATACTAAATATTTAAAACTTTTAACCACACTTTTCTTATAACATTTTTTTTTGTATTTTTAATTAAGTTACATATTACAAAATAAAAATTACAAGTACAATCAAATAACACTCAATGTATTTCAAATAGTACTTATATGAAAGAAAAACCAAACAAATTAATCAAACAAAACTAATATATAAGTTGGATTAAATCCTCATTTGGCAGGACTTACAGCATCAGAATTGGATGATATTATTTCTTGAATTCAAGTGCAGCTGAAGCGTGAAGTTTCACTTTGTTCTGAGCCTTGATATAATCTGTCCCAAGTTGATACATTTAAAAATTGAAATGAAAAATTAGAGGTGATCAAAAATTGAGATAGGAAAGAAAACAAAATAAATAATATCGCCTCATTATTATTTTATTAGTTTCCATTAATCAACAATCACAAATAGATTTCAGTCTGTGAAATAGTACGTGACATAATAAATATGAATAAGAATTAAAAATTAAATTGAATTAAAAAAATAAATTATTCCAACTTCATTTTTGTTAGCTTTTATTTTATGATACATAATTTTATCATTTTATTCAAGCCAATCAAAGGTGATTGAAATTCTAAGCAATATTAATATCTAATAAAATAAGCAAATAATTAGATCCAATAAATTTCGACTTTAAACGAAAATGATGAAAATAATTTTTAAAAAATGGTACGAATTAAAATATTAAAAAAACCTGAATGAAGATTTGACAAAAAATCAAAAACAAATATATATTTGTGTTTGTTCAGTACAAATTATACTGCAACAATTTTTTTATTTTATATGTGTTTAATACTAAATAGGTACAAAAATACATAAATTACTAGATCTATAAATAATGGAGCAAAATAATAAGGGTACAATTAAGAATTAATATAAAATTATTAAAATTTTGGAAAACAAAGTCTTTAGCTGAAAGAAAGTAAGATGAGCTCCATCAATTTATACATTACCAAAATTATCTTTCAAATTTTTTAAGAATTTTAACAAAACGAAAAGCAAGAAAAATAATTAAAAGAAAAAAAAAAGAAGATAGTAAGGAAGTGATATGTCCACTGCTTAAATTTAGCTAAAAAATTAAATTTTAGCAAAAGATTTAAGTTTAGCATAAACTGTGTCAGCGATGGAAGGTTCCTAAATGCGTGAACCCGATTTGATCAAATCACACGTCCATCAATACAAATATTTTCAATGTGAGCAATATTTGGCCAGTCCACACCAATATGCCTTTGGCATCTTTCCGATAGCTGGGGACATCCCCAAATACTCAATTCTTGTAAAGAGGAGAGAAAGCGCATCCCCTTTGGCATTGATGTCAAGTTACTGCAACTTGCAATGTACAGAGACCAAAGAGAAGTTAGGTTTTGTAGAAACTCCTCTGGCAGAGAATCTAGTTCTTCGATATCTACAAGCCACATTTTTGTCAATTTGGAGAAAGGAGGGAAAAGTGAAGAAGATGATGGTTCTTCTGATGTTGTCATCTTCAATTTCATTGTCTCTTGAAGTTGCTTCCAGCTGGTTTCATTCAAATGCAGCTCCCGAACAGAAGGAAACAGCGGCATAGAGGTTAGATTAGGGCACCATCGTATTGTCAAATCTGAAAGGCAAGGAAAGTAAGGCAGCTGTGCATTTGAACCTTCATCAACATCACCGCTCCACCATCCCTTAAGATTTGGGCAATTCATGAGGTCGAGTTCCTCCAAGGATGGAAAAAATTTTGTTGATTTTGAAGAAGACAACTCCTTTTGCATTTCAATCTCAGACACATTCTCCAAAACTTTTAATCCTGAAAACCTAAGAAATTTGAGGGAAGAGAGCTGATGCAGTGGTGGCAGATGCTTGCATTCAACACAATCCTCTAATATAAGTCGAGTTAAATTGGTGATGGAGGACAGCCAGCTAGAAATCTTGCTTCCTGGATACCCGTACACCACAAGCATCTCTAGATTTGGGTGTGGTTGGAGGCCTTCAAAAACCAACTCAGACTTCTCATTACTTGCATCATCATCCTCCTCCTCCTCCTCCTCATCATCATTCTCGTCATTTCTCCAGCTCAATTTCAAGTGTTTCAAATTTAATTTTTCTTTCAAGTAAGAAGATCCAGGCTCTGGAATAGCATTTTTTAAAGAAGAAATACGTATTTTTCCTTTGAGGTTGTTCAGTCCATTCAATTCCCTTAACTCACCAGCACCCTTGCCTCTCTTTCCCACAATAAACTCATTTAACGTTCCCAGACAAGTTAGTTGCCCCAGTCCACGTGGCATGTAAGCCAAACTATCACATCCATCAATATATAGATATCTGAGGCTAACTAACCTTCTTGTTTTCCTCGGTAATTTTTCAAGATCCGAGCAACCAGAAAGACGTAATGTTTGCAAATTCTGTAGCCTACACAAAGAACTAGGCAGTTTTTTAAAATTTTCATTTCCAATAAGATAAAGACCCCTTAAATGTTTCAATTTGCCTATGGAATGCAGTAGCCTCTCAATACCTGAGAAACTCAAATTCAAAGAGCGTAGGTACCTAAAATTAGAAATAAGTGCATTGCAAATGGATTGATTCAAGCTGCCATCCGGAAGAAATATTGTCCTTAGTCTATTTGCTTTGAGCAAAGTGCATGGAATTTTCCAATAAGCATCTAATTCATCTTCAAATAACACGTGACGAGTTCTTTCATCTGCATTTTCTGCTTCTAGACTTGCAATGCAGTACTCAGTCCCAGCAGCAGAGCATGCAAGATCATGCATTAGATCGTGCATTGTGAGTCTCTTCACATTTCCCAAATCATCTTCTTCTGCAACCTGAAAAAAAGATTTCCAAAGCAAATCCATGAAATACTCATGCCCAACATCTTCTAGATCTTCGTCTCCACTTAGTGGCTGGATAAAATCTTGAGGCCATCCAATACATGATCAAATCCTCAACCCAAAACTCAGTGTCCTTCAGAATTAAAGAGCATTAGGCAAAACATTGCCTCAAATGTGGTGGAAGATGATCATAACTCAACTTTAAAACTGGCATAATACCACTTTCTTGTTGAGTTATATACTTAACTATATTATTCTTCACCTTTACCCATTCAGCTTCTGTTCTTTTAAATAGTACACTTCCTATCGCCCTTAAGGCAAGAGGGACCCCTTTACACTTCTCTACAATCTCCATTCCAATTGCTTCAAAGTGTGAAGCATTAGATTCGTGGCTTTGTTCTTTAAATGCCATTTGCTTCAGTAGTGACCATGATTGGCTTTTTGACAATCCTTCAAGCTCATGTGGTAAAACTGTGCTTGTGATTTCTGCAACCAGCCCACTACGAGTAGTGATAACAATCCAACTTCCCCTTGCACCACCTAATAGCAAATTTCTCAAATTGAGCCACTTTTCACGGACCTCATTCCATACATCATCTAGGACTAGCAAGTACTTCTTTCCATTAATGTTTCCTCGAAGAATATTTTGCAGTGTTTCCATCTGGAGGTCCCTTTCAGGTTTGCTTCCAGTTGCAGCCTCAATGATTTTTTCCACAATGAGTTTTAGCTCAAACTTCTCTGAGACACAAACCCACAATTTTAGCTGGAAATGTTCTCCAACATTTTTATCGTTGAATACCATTTTAGCTAATGTAGTCTTTCCTAATCCTCCAATCCCTATTACGGGAACAATTGAAACATTTTCTTCAAGTTTGGATTGTAGCAGCAGTTTTACAATTTTTTTTTATCATAATCTCTTCCAATTATTTCTTCTTCAGGCACAAAGGAATGAGTTTGATCCCTCTCCTTAACTTCAAGCAATGACTCTACCGGGCTGTCAGTAAAGTGAAATTTGGTTCCATCGGCTGCAATTTTATCTAGCCTCTCTCTAATGGCTTTAACTCTATAACCTATCTTGAGACTATATGGAAGCTGGTTTGATTTGGAGAAGAAAACGCGTACCTTTTTTACCATTTCATTCCCCCTCATTATCTTTCGCCGCAAAGCTTCTGTGGAAAAATCGTCGAGCAAGTCATCCACGTCGTAAAGCAGATCTTTGAGCTGTCCGAGCCAGACCGTCACTTCATGGTTGTTGTTTCTTTGTTGCTCCTCAGCATCACGAAGCACACCTTTGATCAAGGAAAAAGTGTCTTTGAGCTTGGTGATTTCCTCTTTGACACCCCAGGGCAAACCAAGTTCTTGGTGAGCCAATGATGCCAGACCCACCAAGAGTTTTCCAGCAAAGTTGAACAGGACGCCTTCTGCCATTTCTAGATTTCTTCCTTCGCAGCAGGAAACACTAATCTCAATGGGTTGGTTTTCCCTTTTTTTTTTTTTTAAGAAATTGCAGATGGTTTTGAAAGAAAGTGAACGAAGATACCGGACAAGGCGCGGTCTGAGTCAACTCCAAACCCGAATGGTCAAGTGTTTAAGTTTATGATGCATGATGTGCCACGTAGGTATGGAATTATTAAAAAATTACAAATAAAAGTAATGGAGGAAAGTATATACAGTCAACGGTCAAAAAAATAAAACAATTTTTTAATAGCTTGGGCCTTCGGTGAAAACTTTTGTGGTAAAAGATAGAGAAAGATATATAAATATATGTTATATTATATTATATAAATATATGGCACATCTCCCTTACAAAAACTAGTGGTTGGAGCCTGATTGGTTAAAATTAAGATTTTATCCGAGTTTGATTGATTTTATATCAAATATTATTATTTTGTAGGTATTTTTTTAATTTGTATTTTACATGAGCTTTCTTCTTAAACAATTTTGATTTTTTTATTTTTAAAGTTATTTAGATATTTATTTTTTGTTTAATTTTTTAAAATTAATATAGTTGAATTATTTGATATTTTGATTAATATTTTCAAAGTTTCAATTGGAAATTAGGAGTTTAAATTTTAAATTTATTTTTTTAATTTAAATTTATTATATATTTGTTAAATATATATACTTTTTCACATTTATTATATTATGTTACATATTTTAATTTTTTTAAGTATGAAATTATCTTATTTGTTAAATATATACTTTTTTCATATTTCTTATATTGTCTTACATATTTTAATTTTTTAAGTATGAAATTATTTTATTTGCCAAAAAAATGAAATTATTTATAATAAAACTTTATTATTTATCATATAATAAATTAAATTTTTATATATTTTTATTGATTCTATAATTGATTGATTGATTTAGTTGCATCAATAATCCGACAATATATGAATTTGAACAATTCATTATTTAGTCTAATTTTGATAATTATGCTAATAAATATAGTCCTGCTAGCATTTGGAATTAAAATACAACATAAATTGATAAACACTCTCTTATCTTGTGATAATAATTTTGGATAAATTATTCACGATAAAAATTTTATAGTTAGCAATCAAAGCTTAATTCAATTATATTCAGATAATTTTTTTTAATAACTTATATCTAATAAATTTGAAATTTGAATCATAATATTTGTAATTTCTTATTCTATTCTTAGACTACAACTTTTTTTATAAAAAAAACCCTTTATAATTAAAATATCTTTACCGTTACATGTTTTGTAATTAAGATGTTGAATCCAAATATTTTTTAAATGAAATAAATAATTAAGAAAAAAAACAAAAATTTTATAATCATCATAACAATGAAAATGAAAATTATTATTAAACTATAACTTTTGAGCAAAACAAAAAAATATGGGTCATGCTTTTCCAAAATTTTTTATTTTCAAAATTTTTTACCTAATTATTTATTTATTTATTTATTTATTCTCATCAATATTAGCATTAATTTTGACAAAATGGTCCATTTTTAACAAAACAACATATTAAATTTGTTGAAGCTTAATATAATATTAATTAAATCCGATTTTTAAGTTTTATTTTTGTATTTACAAATCAAATTTACAATGTTAAGTCGAGATTGAACATTGCCAACTAGATAAATTTTGTCAATACAACATTTACCTTTCCCCATTCATTCTTTCTTTTCAATTTCATGTTTTTTTAAAATTCAATATAAAATATGATTATTAATTTTTATTAGTAATTTTGTGAATAATATTTTCTATTCAATGAATATTTGTCTTCATTCATGCCAATATTAATTATTTTTCCTGCATTGCCTTTATTCATAACTTATCATTATCAAATAATTGTGGTGGAATTAGCATCAAAGATGATGGAAGTGAAATATCTGCCGTTTGTCGTTTGAGACGTTAACACTATATTTGGATTGAGAGGGGAGGGAAAAGAAAGAAAGGAAAATAAAAAAAATAATGAAAAGCGAAAAACTTTTTTATTTGGATAAATTTTTAATTTAAAGGAAACAAAAGAAGTGGAAACTAAATAATTTTTAGTTTTTTTTGTAATCCTTATTTTTTTAATGCCTCAATTTTTGGGAAAAAAGTTAAGGAAAAAAAAGTTGAAAAAAATTTTATTTTTATAAAAATACTATTATATTTTTATAAAAATACTATTATATTTTTATTTTTAATTAAGACATTAGATTTCATTATACAACTGACACTTCTTACAAAAATATTTTTTTTATGAATATTTTATATAATAACACAGTTATAAATATTTTATAATTTTCTAAGTCTTAACAACAAAACAAACCAAATAATTGTCAAAAATAATTAAAAGACTGAATTAACAATAAAATTAAGAATAAATCAATAACTAAAACTAACACATCTTTACCTATTAAATATGCTGAATTTTATTTAGAAAGATTTGTTTATAACAAGCTAATATAGTATAAAGATATATTTGTATTTATAAAAAAAGTTATAATTGAAAAAAATATTATAATGAATATTTTTCTTTCCTTTTCATTATTTATCCAAATAATAATAGATGTTAGAATTATTTTTCTTTCTTATTAATTTCATTATCCAAATAAAAGATACATATACTCTTTTCTTTCTTTTAAAAAACTTTCATTTTCTTTTATTCATTAATATCCATCCAAAAATGACATAACTAAAAATATTTACTCAAATCGAGCTGAAAATTTTCTTTTCTTTAAACTTTAATGGCTAGAGTAAAGAATATCATATTTTCCCAAGCAAACAAGCACTTGTTGGAAAGGGAAACAAAGTAAGCGAATGAAGCTTGAATGGAGCAACCATCGTCACCAAGAATAAACCCAGTTGACTTGAGGAACTGCATAAAGAGCTAGTGAAGTTCACTTTCCACTGTTATCTCAATGGAACTCATGAATAGGATATTAGGCTCTCAAGATAATTTTGCTCCTCTCTCATCAATCACTAATCAACCAACCCCATCTCCCCTAATGTCGGTAAAAAATAAAAAATAACCATGAAAAATCTTCTTTTTCTTCAGCTTTTTTTTTTCAATTACATGTCTTGGGATTCATTTCTTTGAATAATAGAAAATTCCTCGAGGGTCTCTCAAAAGCCATTATACATACATTAGCATTGGCTTTATATGAAATCATAACATTTGGATCACTTCAAGGGTCATCTAAGTGTAGCAAATTGGCATAATTTTGTCAAAGCAATAACTTGAAGTTAAAAGAAGAATGGTTTGACTTTGTTCATGAAAAAAGATCCGAATTAGTTGGAGTTTGTCCTTTTAATGATGATAGTTTTACCTATTCCAATTGTATCTTCATAGTTAATGTGTTTATCTAATCATTGTATTTCATTAGATTTTGAGAAGCATCAATTTTGAATTTCATGTTCAAGAGCCTTTCTTCACTTAACTAAAGGGTATTATTCTATTCCAAAAAATATTTATGCTAATGATTATGCTTCTGTTTCTTTTTTTTTTTTTTTTTGGGTTTGTGTATAAAAAATTATTAAATTCTTTATTTCTTTATCTTGGTAGTTTTCTTTCTCCAATAACTAAGTTGGGATAGAGGAATTTGAACTTGAGACCTGCCTTTTCTAGCAAAGGTGAAACCATGGTTTCACTATTTGCTCTTTTTTATTATTATTTAGAAGTAATATCTTGTCATCTACACATTTTTCTTTATATTCTATTCAAGTAAAGAATTTTCTTTTTATTGTTTGTAGATGGTTTCAAAACAATGAAGGGAAAATGTGCTGTTGGTGACTATAACAAGTATGCCTTACCTTTAGGCATTTGTACAAATCTGGTATTGTTTGATCTTTTCTAATATTTACTTCGTTTCTTTCTAAGAAACCATGGGAAAACTCTAGGAAAAAAAAAGAAAAGAAAAAAAAAAGAAGAAGAGGTGGAAACGTAATTTTGTTAGAACACGTTGCTAGTATAATATTCAATAACATTTCTTTTTTGGTTTGTCAGGTGAGGTTCAAGGGCTTAAACATTTATCAAAGTGTTTTTCTTGCCCCTGGACTTAATTAATTTACTTTGAATAGTTAAGTATATTTTATAAACTTTCCTCTATATTTTTTTACTTAGTGCTTTGATCATAATTGCATTTGGAGATTTGATCCTCTTTAACAAACTCTTGATACTTGAGGTTTAGGTAATAGCAGATGTTTTTCTAATTATCCATGCTTTTTTTTATCTTTTTCTTAATCATTTGGTTTCTTTAAATAATTTTTTTTGGTAGGATGTTCACCATCATGCTTCATTCTTTGAGATGTTGGAAGCAGAGAGTCTTGCAAAGGTGCCTCTTAGAGTTAAAATCATAGATGAAGGTAATGATTCAATACATTGTTGTCTGAGCCCTCTTATATGTGATGTTCAAACTTTATATGGTATCAGTGGCAATAGTTTATGTTTGTGATTCCATGCTACAATTTTTTTCCTTTACATTTATTTTGTCTTAAAAGATCAATAAGGAAAATTTTGAACTTTTGGACATCAGAACTTTTTGAAGGGTTCTATTTATCATACTTGGGCATCATGCAAATTGTTGCTCTTTCAAGCATTCAAGTTTACAAAAAGTTTTAATCAGAAGAAAAAGAAATGACCAATGGTGTTGTTGTAATTTGTGTTGCAAATGTGGCTACTCAACATTACCTTTCATTGGCCAGAATACTATCCGTGAGTGAACTAACTCTATTCTATTTTGATTTATGCCTATAACTTTACAATTATGTGAAAAATTTTGTCTTATAGTAAGGAAAAAATTTTTTCCCTCAGAATAAAGTTCATCAACAAATAGAAAGAATCACAAAGAGGCAAAAGTTATATTAAATACTTAAACTAAAAAGCTTCAAATGTAAGCAAACCAAAATGAAAACTGCAACCTTTGCCTCAAAAAAATACCATAACTAAAAATGAATTGAGCTAACTTGGCTTTGAAAGGATTTTGGAATATGCTTTAATTGTGGAGTATTTGGATATAAAAAATTTGATAATTCTGATGTTGTTAGGAGAGCATAGTCGATGTACAAAATATTGGTCTTTCTGCATTTAAAAGTGATTAATGAGAGTAAGCTTTGCAAATGTTATGCGTCTCACTTACATCATAAATGCATATAGATTACATACATGAAAGCCCTACTTTAGTTGAAAATCCACATTAGCACTCGCAATGTTCATCTGCCATAGCATAAAGCAATTTTTTGTACATTCTGGGGATTGTAGTCTGTTTATTACAATAGCCTATATGTGGGCTAGGAATGTTGTAAATTGTGCTGACATAGTTGTATCATTCTACTTATTTAGTTTTGTGCAAAATCATTATATTTGATTTCAGGGATTGACATATGAGGGTGTTCTAAGGCTTTTAAATTAAGAGCATCTTGTTGGATCTATTCCATGAGAACTCCCCTTTGTAAGAGTTACTTCTCTGCTACACTCTAAATACAAGTCAAATGCCAGAAGGGGACACATGATCTGATGATCAAATTTTTGTTGTCTTATACTCCTTGTGAAGAGAATTGCTTGGTATAACATCTAGGAATATTTTTTATTTCCTTATCTTTAAATGTTGTGACTGATTATCAAAAGTTCCAACTTGTGGAATAGAATAAAACTAGGATGAACTTATTCAGCATTATGGCCACACTCATGTCATACGGTCTATTAAGTTTCTTCACAATAACTCTACTTTATATCTCAATAGAAACCTTAAAGTGTAGAGTTCGAGCAATTATTCAGACTGATAATTTTAAAACATCTTAAAACACAAATACTGTCTACTGACAATTTATATATTGATGTCTAAGTGTGTGAAATATTAAAATTATCAATTATCAATTTGTGTTAATTGGTTAAATATAATTTTTTTTTATTTTTGTCAAATTTATTAAACAATCTTTTATTAAAATTTTAAATTGTATTATTTTTATTTTTTTATAAATTGTTTTCGTATCTACTTTTCATATTAAATTTAAAATTATCAAGTTTATTCACAAATTTTCTCAAGTTCTTGCAAGTCGTGACAATGGATTGATGAACCTTTACTAAACTTGTGCAACATCTAAGTTTTAATCTTTCCAAGCTTAATAATTTAGTTAAGTTTAGTGTTTTTATAAGTGAATCGAATCACTCAAATAAAATATTTTTAGTTTGCCAAAAACTTATGTTACAGACATAGATGAAAATAGAAAAATATCAAAATTATCAATAGTAAGAAAAAATACAGAAAGTATGTCATAGAATAGTAATTTTTAAATGATTTTTTAAGTTCAAATAAAAAATGTCGCAGAAGGTATAAGAAAAATGAAATCTTAATATTTCAATAAAAAATAGGGTTAAAAATTTATTTTGAAAAATTAGACATTCTTTTGAGAAATTAAAAAAAAAATGTGAAGTTCAATCGAAAAAAAATATTTATTTTTTTAAGTAAAAGAAATTATCCCTAATACATTGGTTACTGTTGAATTTGAAACGAAGTAAAACTGAAAGTCGTTCGACAAAGGAGCTCAGCTCAGTAAACAAAAATGGAATATTTTCATAAAAGACAAAAACAAAAAGGAAAATGGAAGAACTTGAGCTAAGAAATAAAAAGAAATGAAGAGATTAGGATAATGGATAGAAGTAACAAAGTTCACTCTCCAATCGCACATCAACAAATCCCTCAATTTTGAACTCCGCCTCTCCCCTGATTTCTGCTCCAACCTTCTTATCGATTCCCACACCATCGATCCCAATCTAGGTAAGACTACCCAAGCCAAAATTTTCGCTTTCTTGTTCTTTTGTTGTCCCAATTCCTAACTTTCTCTGTTAATCTTCACCTTTTGGTTGTTCCAAGAAGAGGGCCAAAAAGAAACAAAGAGAAACGCAAAAAATTGAATCTTGATTGTTAGAGGATTGGTTATTATAACAATTTTTATCCATTTGACAGAAGCATAATTGTTTTTTTTTTTTTTTTCTCACACTGGAATGGTGTAGATATTTTGAAGGGAGTTCCTTCATACCCTTTTTGCAAGCATTTGGCATTGGCTTTGCGCCAATCCATAGTTTCTGGGTTCATTTGCAATAGACAAGGCAATTCAGCGTTAATGCGCCATGAAATTTCTACGAAACAGAAGGAAGAGTGGAATAAGTTAGTTTCAAATAAGGGACTTGAATTTATTAAAGTTAGTTTGTTGTTGTTAATGCTTTTATTTATTTATTTTTTTTTTCGATTTATGACTAATAATTTGTTTTCTTGATAGATTGTGAATAATATAGACATTGAATTTCATGTTCAAGAGCCGTTCTTTTCAATGTTAAGAGGTATTTTTGGTTGTTTTTATTCTTTACTAATGCCCTTATTCCTTTGTCATTATCTAAGCAATTGAAATTTGACATTCTTTGCAAATGGCTTGAAGACAATTGAAGGAAGGTGTTAGGTTGGTGAATACAATAAGTATGTCCTAGTTCTTTTGCATGACTGTTATTTCTTTTCTTCAGCACTTATATTTTAAACTTGTTCTGTACAAAATGAATTTTGTTGGGCAACCTATTCAATTTTAAGGTCCTTCATAACTTAAGGACAACCTATTTAAGCTGACTGCCTGCCCCCCCTTTTATTCGGTATTGGTTCTCCAGTGTTTTCATGGTAACCTAATTGATTTTGAATTCTTTTTCTTTTGATAAGTGACTTCTTTTTTTTTATTCATATATTAATGATTTATTTATTTTAGTATTTAATCAGGTTCTATGATCCTTTTTAATAAATGTCTGGTGCGTGAAGTTCAGGTGATCTAATGCTTATGCCTTACAGCCTTACATTTCCATGTTTATGTTCTGAGCTGGGCATTTCTAATTTTCTCAAATATCAGAATGTTCATAGTTATGCTACATTTTCTAAGATGTTGAAAGTCTTTCTCAAGTCCTTCCTGAAGTTAAATCTACTGAAGAAGGTAATGGCAATTGATGTTAACCCATGATTGTCCTTAGATCAAGTTTAGTTGGGTTTCTGTCATATTGATTGAGTTTCAAAACCCTTGGATTCTGACGCAATTCCAGATACTTTAGTGGGACTATTTTACTTAATGAGTGTCATTGTGGCAGCCTCCTTCATTGATTCTATGACCATGAAAAACAATACCCTATAACAATGACTATGTGAAAGGAATGGTTTACAGGATAGTTTCAAGAGCTGCATGTTGTCACCATCATTCATGATTACAAAGATGAGACAGTTGTTCCTTGTGAAAGTACAACTTAATATTGCTGTAGAAAGAAAAGTAAATGGAAAACACAAAACAGTCATAGAAACTGTTGAAATCCAAAAACTGACATTACTTTAATGGCTGTATCCCATCTCATTAGAATCTTGCAGCATGATCTGAAACTTGATTAATCGTGAAAGTATAAAAGAGAAGCCGGAAAAAAAAAAAAAAAAAACTTAATTAGAAAATATTAGACACC